ACTCTGTTATAAATATGAATACAGAATAAAGAAATTGTGTTGAATGTTCTTTGGAAAACCAAGAGACTTTTTTAGCACCTGGACTGAATTTGAAGGAAACTAGACTTGAATTAGAGTTTTGTGTAGAAACCAAGAAAAAGTCAGTGGTTTTGGCCAGATGAAGTGATTTATTTAAAGCCAAAAGTTAACATAAAGCTTCTGGAACACTTTATGTGAATTGGCTATAAGAGAAGGGGGTGGTTGTGGGGTGTGTGTGTGTGTGTGTGTGTGTGTGTGTGCAGGGAGTGGGGGATGGTATACATACAGATGAATGACATTTGGAAAGAGATTTTTTGCCATGGAAAAATTTTTCAGAATCACTTAGCTTACTGCTTTTTTTATAATGTATAATGTCCCCTTCTTAAACACCCAGTGATCACATGACAGTAAAACTTAAAACAAGAATTTACAAAAGTAAATTTGAGCTTATATTAATCAATTTTATGGTCTTTCAATTATTTTTTTAACGTAAAAAAATTTATTCAGTTTAGAAAAATATTATATAATTATGTGTTACACACCTTCATACATGTCTGGGTGTGTTTAAAGGACTTTTTATAAAAGCCTTCTCTAATTCAATGGAATTTTTAGATCCAGACCTTCCCTGGAATAGACAGATGAAATGTTCTAAGGCAAGATGAATTGCAGCTAAATAAATCTTGTATCCATTGAGTGCAGACAAGTGAGATGACTAAAACAGTCGCACTCTCATTTTGATATTTAGGATGATCTCTAGACAGATGAATGAGAAGCAGAGCTATAAAAGAAAGAAATTAAATGGTAGAAGCAGGTACTCAGTATGAATATCAATGTCTTTCACTTCTAAAACAATATGGATTTTCAGGAGTTTTATATTAAATTTTACAAAAGCCAGGCAGAACTACAAACAAATTGTGGCACTCTACTGTCATCCTTAAATTAACACATAAGGTTAACCCTATAATTAAGGACAAAACTCTAGAAGAACGAACTGCTATTTGTAGTGTTGATATGATCCACAAACCAACTCAAAAACAGTTTGTAATTAACCCAGACTTTCTGAATGTAGATCCAGCATTAGAGGAAGGGTTGGGAAACATAAAGGGCTTGAAATGTTTACATTAAAATGAGCAGTAGGAATCTGATCTTATTAATTTCTGATTCTTTCACTCAAATATTTGATTTGAAAATGCTGCCTTAAGTGGAAATATAAAAGATTGAAACTTTTAATAAGAAAACTGTATTTTGATGGATACTTTAATAAAGAGAATAAAAAGAAATAAAAACAGAGTAGGCATTCCTTTATCCATTCATTTATTTCAGTAGCTATGCACTACTGATTATTTAGGTTACTAGGGTGAAGCAGGCCACCTTGAAATCCACACTGCATTAGTCTTAGCAGTTTTGTATTTTGAAGAACAGGAATTTCTTATTCCCGGGGAGGTGTGTGTGAAAAGAGGCCCCAGGACCTAGAGTTGGTGATGAGGTTTATCCAGCAAGTGAGTTAAAGCAGTGGTTCCCAAACTTGGTTTAAAATCAGAACTATCTGGCTTACTTTGACAATATAGAGTTCTGAAAACAGAGTACTTGGTCTGATGACTAACCATTTATATTATGATCTAGATATTTATGTGGATTAACAAGATTTGAGAGCCACACAAGAATTGTTGAGGCCTGTGGTGTGGCCTGTTAGGCTGCCGTTTGGGATGCAGGTCTCACATAGTAGAGTGTCAGTTCAAGTCTTGATCCTACACTTTCAATCCAGCTTTCTGCCAAAGCACCCAGGAAGGAGCAGGTGATGAGCCACATGCTTGAATTCCTGTCACCTGAGAGATTTGGAAGGAGTTCTGGTCTCCTGGATTTGACTTGATCCAGCCCAGCTGTTGTAGACATGTAAGCATTTGGAAATGAACTAGAGAGTGGAAATTCTCTCTCTCTTGGTCTCTTTGTCTCTTTCCCTCTCTCTCTGCTTTTCAGTCTCTTTCTCTCCCCACTGCTCTTTCACTTCACTTTCACTCTCTCTTTGCCTCTCTCCTTTCTCCATCACATAGCATTTTGAACCAATCAACAAATAGTTTTAAAGATATGATGCTCATTAATACTGCTCAATAGTCTGGAACTGTATCAGTTATGATACTATTCTTCACTAATAGTAGAAAAACTCTTTCCTTAAGTTTAGGCAACCAGATGGTTTCAGTTAAACCTTAATACAAAAACTCCTTAAAATGTGTAGTAGCCTTTGTGTAATATCAGGAATAAAAGGAAAAATCAATGGTCTGGTACTTAATCCAGCCAAAGCAAAAGTTTAAAGGTGGTGTGTTTGAAATAAACACAATATTTTCTATTTAACAGGAACCTTTCATATTTAATTTCACCTCATGATTCTAGATAATAATTGGAAATTTTAGCAAGCAGTTGTTAGAAAGTGGTAGTCCAAACATCTGCAGTTCTGGAACAGGGCCATGCCATCACTACAGTGAAAGACTGCCATTCATTTGAACTATTTCTTCTGATAGTATTAGATATGTTGTCCTTAGTTCCAAGAAATGTGGACACAGTATGTCACAGTTCTTGGAAATTTCTTACTCTTACGAGCGGAAAAGCACAAAGTTGAAAAAATTTAGGACTGTAGACAAGGAAGTGAGGGCAAAAGATATGCAAAAGAATCTCATGAATCCGGCTTTTCTTTTAGGCTAACATCCAATTCCCTGACACCATGCTAGGTTAATGACAAGTAGAGTGTATCCACTATACAGAGCACTGTACATTATAGGTAAACTAATGATCTATCCAGTAGTTTGTCAGTCCTGTCTTTAAGTCACCCCATGAGTACACACTGAGCATGAGAACAGCATGTAAGGATGGTATCTATGTTCCTTTTGTCTAAGTAATCCCTGGTAAACTACAGTTTATATATTATTACTTTGTATTTTTTTACCCGGTATGTATACTAATATTTCCAAAGTTTATTTCAATTTTCCCAGCATATTTAAAGGGTATCACCAAAGACAATGAAATGAAACTAGTTTTAGAGAGATGATTAATTTGTCTTTTTTTGAAACACTGTGGTAGAGAATGGCTGGCCCTTCTTTCCATCCAGTACAGAGCTAAGCTTTTTTTCCAGCTTACCCACAAATACATAGAGGTGTTGAGAAACACACTAACCACTGGCTCATGAAAATGTACGTCATGATCCCCTTTTCTTCATTAGCAAGATGAATGAAAAGAAGATTTGTGTACTTAGAAGAGAGTGTGGTGACACAGAAAAAGCATTTGGAATCATTGAGCAGTTGTGGGATACCTCAGCTTTTCCAGAGGCCTTGCCCCACCCAAACTATTCCCCTAATAATTACTTTTTCTGTGAACAATAAACTAATTTTGTCTGCCTGTTGATATTAAAAAATGACTGAAGTTAATTAAACAACGAAAACAAACAAACAAACAAAAAGAGTTCTGGATTCATGCTGTAGGGTTGGGCTGTTTTGACAGCATGTGAGTATGGAGGGCTGATGGGGGCAGGGGAAGTGGGCTGTCTGTGCCATTAATAGAGACACACTTCCTCAAGCATGTGCTGTGCTACTCTTAAATGTGTGGAGCAGGAGATACAGATTTGTCTGAAGTTAGCAAGGCAAAGGGATTTTTTTTTTTAATGAATAAGTTTTTCTATTATTTCAGTTGCCCAAAGCTCATTCAGGTTTCTTTACTTCTATAATTATATTGTTGGAAATCCCTTGATTTGGTAAACAGTGTTATGACACTGCAGCTAAGATGCCATGTGCAATTCCCCCATCTTGTTTTGGAGCGCCTGGTGTGATACGGCTTAAGATCTGTGTTCCTGCTGCTGTGGACTCTGGGAAGTAGCAGATGTTGGCTCAAGTACTGCTGTCTCTACTACCCAGGTGGAAGATTCAGATGAAGATTTTGTCTCCTGGCTCCTGGCTTCAGTTTGGAGCAGCACTAGCTGTGGTAGGCATACAGGAAGTAAATTAATGGATGGTAAACTTTCTGTCTATGTCTGTGTGTTTAGTTTTTAAATGAAATGAAACAAGAATAAATGTTTTGAAAAGAAATCCTAGCTTCAGCAACTAATATTTCTACCTGCAACTGTATCTAGGCAGGAGATATATTTCAGGAACATTTTCAATAAACGCAAAGAATACTTTGCTGCTGGATGGTAGAGCTCTGCTTTCCTTTCCTGTAAGTAGCTGCAGGATTGGTAGTGGCATGTAGAGATGCAGAGGCATGGGTACCTTGCAGACACTCAAGGTGGTGTGGACTAAGCCTGAGAACGAATAACAGAAATGTAGGATTTGTGATCGCATGCTTGAGTCTTTCTGTAAGATGTACTCTTGTATGTTTGCTTACTTTGAATGTCTGACAAAAATTATTTATAATCCCAAATCTTAGGGTTTTTTTCCTGAAATTAAAAAAAAATTATTTCAGAGAATGGGTTTTTTCATCTCATTATTTCATATTCATCATCAGATATAATAATATTAGGGAGAGAAAATAATGCTAAGATTAAATACTTTGTGGCTTGTTCAATTATGGCTCCTTGGTGAATCCTAGAGTGAATATGAACCTTCTTGTGTAGTCTTCACTCACATTGGCTCAGCATGGGACTTGTTTAACGCAAAGAATATTTACAATAAATGGCCTCGGCTCTAAGTTATTTGTTTTGCTTAGTGATTTCTGTTATTTACCAGTAACATATGATACATGCAGTGATCTGATGGATAAATAACATTTTATGCTCTGTATTAAAACAAATAAATATGTGGCAGTAACCTACCGTATAAATCAGGAATGAAGTGACATATCCAAGTAAAGTCGCAAATGCTCCGACCGTAATCGGATTACTATTTTGTATTGTGTAGTCAAAAGCAAAATAAGCATACTTCTCTTTCATCTCTCTATTGGTTGATCATGTACAATCTCTAGAGAGGATGAGGAACAAAAATAAATTTTACTATGGAACTTACTGAAACATGATTTCCTATGCAACATATGCTGGAAAATCTTGCACAGTGATTCTTCACTTTGTGTAATGGTCCTGCAGTTGCATTGCACTTGAAGGACTGTCCCAAGGGTACCCAGGTACGCTGCTACGCAGTCATCACTTCCTGAGCAAATCAAGTCCTTTCTGTTTAAGGTGCTGATACAAGTCTCATCTTCGTGGCACTTTGCAGTCACAAGCTGCCAACATTTTGATTGAAATGCTCTGTAATGTCTCCTAGCAAAAGAGTAAAAACATAGAACAGTATTAATTTAGGTTAAATTTTGATTGCCCCTTACGTAATGAAAGACTGACATAAAACAAACACCTTCTGGGTTCCAGTACACAGTTAAAACCATCTTTGTTCTTTCAATAGGGAGTGTGGAAGAAAAAACAATTAGAGAAATCTTTTGAATTACTGCCGTCTGTGATGAAAGACAGAGGCAAAATGTGGGATTCCCTGTGTGGATTATTCTTCATTACTAATTTTCTTTCAATGGGTGATGATTTGCAGTGTGAAATACTTGAGAGATTTATTAGCGGCTTTTTTTGGAAGCTGGATGTGGTTTTGTGGCTAGCATTTGGCCACTGTCTCGCACAAGGGATTTCTAAGAAGGAACTTAACCTTTTTAGCAAGGATCCCACAGGATGGAAGGCATGGGACTTTGTCTCAATATTTCTAAAACAGGCTAACTAGAATTCATAAATTTTCAAGATTTTCTTTTAGCAAGAGCTAAGGTAAAGCCATATTTATGACTTTACTTAATGGTCAATATAATGCCTTAGAATTACATCCATTCTTAACTTGACTGAGTATATGATTCATATTACAAACACTTTTAATAAAATCCTGTTACATATAGTAATTTCAGTTTGCAACACTCTTGCCGAGAAGACATATTTCCTATTAGAAAAAAATACATATATATTAATTTCTCACTTTGTATTTAACATTTATTTTGTGCTCATTCTTGAATAGGTTGCCAACCAAGCATACATAAAAGATGGAGGACTACGCTGCATTTGTCACCAGTTTATTTGTACAGTTGATAGTTTAAAAAAAATCACAAAGGCAAAGAGTTTTCAAAACCTAATATATATTTTTTAAGATTTATTTATTTTTATTGGAAAGGCGGATTCACAGAGAGAAGATACAGAAAGCTCTTTCATCTGCTGGTTCATTTCCCAAGTGCCCACAGCTGCCTAAGCTGAGCCGATCTGAAGCCCGAAGCCACGGATGCCTTCCAGGTGTCCCACATGAGCACAGGGTCCCAAGACTTTGGGCTGTCCTTGACTGCTTTCCTGGACCACATTTCCCAGACTCCCATTCTCTCCCTGTATCTTTTTATATATGTTTTAAATGAGAAAGAAAGAAGTAGGGCCTGGTGCATTAGCCTAATGGGTAAAATCCTCCCTTTACATGCTATGAGATCCTATATGGGTGCCGGTTCTAATCCCAGAAGCCCCACTTCCCTTCCCGCTCTCTGCTTGTGATCTGGGGAAGCAGTTGAGGATGTCCCAAAGCCTTGGGAACCTATACCCAATTGAGAAACCTGGAAGAAGCTCCAGGCTCCTGGTTTTAGATCTGCGCACCTCTGGCCATTACAGCTATTTGGGAAGTGAATCAACACGGGGGAGATCTTTTTCTTTGTCTCTCTCTGTATATCTGACTTTCCAATAAAAAGAAGAAAGTAAATATGTAAATTATCAAATGTATTAAAAGAACAAAAGGTATCCTTTGATATACTATATAATAAATAATTTGAATTTTCAAATATTTTATATCTGAAAAAGTTATACCTTAATTTTTAAATTTTGTATTTGGAACACTTTAATATAAAGTATTTTATTTATTCTTATTGTCTTGGTAACCTGTAATTTTAATTTACTCAAGCAATCAAATGTTCAAAAACAAATTTTTGGAAAAGAGTTGAGGATTTTATATTTTTGTAACTTCCATTTCAATTGGAAAATGTAACAATATGTAAAGAAAGTTTCTGCACTGTAATGCTATATTTGCCTCTCTCAATTTTGCCTTTGCACATTTTGTAAATATTTCATATCCTTAACATAATTAAGTATATTATAGAGATTTTTTTCTTTTATAGTATTGAGTTTTTAAACAGTATCTTTCATTATTCTTTTGTGCTTATTTATATGAAAATATGAAGTATTATTTTTTAATATATTCTTTAACTTTGTAATTTGTCAAACATAATTTCAGTTCTCAGGGCATGTACTGGACAAAGTTAATCTCATCTTTTAGAAAACTAAAGGAGTCTCAAACTGGAACAGGTACACAAAGCGCGTTTATAGCCTAAGTTCCGAGCCCTGACCCTGTATAAGCATTTCTTGAAAAACGATATGTGATAAAGGGCTTAACAGCCTCACTGAAGTAATTTGACATTTGAAGATTTCTCTCATCTTCATTATATCAGAATTATTTAATATAGGTAATGAAAATCTCCTAAGGCCAAATTTGCTTCAGGAAAAGTGTGGTTTTTCTCTTTTTTGCGTCGACTATTAGTGCTGCTTGATATTTTCATTGCATCCATGCAGAATACAATAAGTGATTATTGGCACATGGTGAAAGAAAATTGAAGACATGTAGTCCTTGCTTTCTGAATTATTCTAAAAAACAAATTGTTAGAACTTTTTTAAAAAGATAATTCTAAGAAAGAAGATATTATTGAATAGTTAGGGGCAAGTAGATGATACTTTTTGAGTACTTGTCATGTATCAGATGTTCATCAAACACCTTAGGGAGGTGATAAAACCTACCAGCTCTTGTTGAGGAAAACTGCCAACTTTGTGCCAGTCAGTGTGAGTAGCCATTGATACCAGGATGAGGTCAGTGCTGAGAGAAAGCTCCAGAATGTGTCACAGGGATTGTAGCAACATATTCCACTACTCACCATGTAAACACTTTTTTTTCTTTAATTTCTTTTTAGTTTGCTTATTTTGTATGTAAATTTAGAAATATCTGAAAGCTTAGTGCAAAATATTTAACTGTCTCAAAGCAGCACATCACAGTACTTGCACTTTCTAAACTTTTTAAACAAGGATTTCATTAAAATCTGTTTTCCCCTAGTGTTGGCTGTTTCACGTATTACTTGACATAATATTTCCAGATAGATGGTCAATGATAGTTGATACATAGATAGATGATAGTTGATAGATTACAGATAGATGATAGTTTTTATTCAATAAAGATAAATGTTTGCTTGTTGCTGACCTTAAGATTCATTCCAAATACCTCAGTGATGTCGAAATGTGTAATAAATGTGTATCTCAGAATCTCTGAGATGCAATATTTCACTAGTAAGTCTTTCTAGAATGATAAATAAGTTTGAAAAATTCAAATTGAACCATATTTTTTAAAAAAATAATTGCCTTTATTATTTTACTTAAGAAGCATAACTAATAAACCTTAAGTAATGGATACACACTTACATAACAGATTCTTAAAACTGTCTTGATACCCTTGACACTTTATATGGTAAATTGAAGCAATATGCCAGTGGTCTACAATTCATCTTAGATCTGTATCTTTCATCTCAGATTATAGCTTAGAGGGAAGCAGCTATATTTGCCAAACATTTTTAGGCTCTGGAACTGCTATCTAACTTAGAAAAAACTGAGAAAAAGAGGCAGAAGATAATGGAAAAGCTAAAACAAAGTAGTTTACTAAGAACCTTCAGGGAGTTAATACCATTACAGGATCAGTATTTTGCCAGTGGTTGAAGAGAGCTGGCAAATGTAACAAATCTCTGAGCTCTCACACACTGAGCATCTCCTCCATCCTAAACTATTGTGTTGATCTTGAAATTAATTTGATATATACAACATTTCATTCATTTAAATAAAATGATATACAATAGTACATAATAGAATGGACTGGGGAGACAAATTCATCTAAAGATTTATTCAAAAAGTGCAAAGATGAATTCAAAAACTATGTGACTTAATGCTGGATGTTAAATAAAGCTTCTTCAACATCATAATGTCAATGTTACAAATGGCTTTGACTTATCCAGTTTACTCAACATTCTCATTTTTCTTGTACCTTCATATTCTGATCCAAAAGTTTCCACTTAACTGAATTTCTGACCAGATAGAAAATAAATCTATCATGAATAAACAACAGCAAAAATGAGCTAATGAAGACCCCAGTGAGCAAAAGGAGAACTCAAAGCATATACAACTAAATTTAGATTTATTGAGAGTGTTTATCTGCAAAAGTACTGTCTGGTCTTCGCTATCACCTGGAGGGAAAGTTTTGACAAAAGACCCAGATCATTTTTGATTGGTGTAAACCCCAAGTTCGTACAATGTCCTTCCAGGCCCTAAGTGATATAAACCTAAAACTCATGCAGTAAAGTAATGAACCTGTCTCCTGTTGCTCTACCTTTGCACACTCGACCCCTTGGAACATGGAGTGCTCAGTTCTTCCTTGGCGCTGAGGAGGGTCCAGTTGTTTGCTATTTCCTGCAGGGCACTTAGTGAGAAACTCCTATTCCCTCACTTCTTTAGGTATATTAAAATTTTCCCTACAGAGATCACACTTTGTGCTGAAATTGTCTTATCCCATTCCCAGTGTCCTTTAATTTGTTCTTTTCTTTTAAACCTAGAGGACACTCATTACTATGTCATGTGCTGATCAGTTTGCTTATTTAATCTGTCTCTGACCATAAGAATTTAAGCTCCACTAGAGAGGCATCACTGTTTCTTATTCACTGATACTCAGAGTAGCAGTAGGCATATGGTAAATCTTTAAATGAACAAATAAGGGGTTCACATTCTTCTCCTGATAACAAAGCATGTAGGTGGTTGGGGAGAGGAGGGTGGCCACAATCTGACAATATGACACATGTAGATATGAGGGATGTCCAGACTCTTCAAATTACTTTCTTGTTCCTGGTGTCCAGCTTAAGACACAAGAGATATAGTTTAAAGTCTAAAGGGTCCTTTGCTCAAATTCCATGATGTTTGACAGACTTCTATAGTCATACCAAAACAAGCAAGCAAGAAAGCTTACATTCAAATCAAGTGTATGAACCAATTCATTGCTTCCACTTGAATTTATTGTTTTAATAATGCTGTCGCCCGGCTACCAAATCCTGACATACTGAATTTCTGTGTTCCAAAATCTTGTCCTACATCTAATTTCAAAAAAAAAAAGGACACTACATATGTAACTCAGCTTTAAAATTATGAGTTGTCTGGTTTTATTTACACCATGTTGGGTGATGGTGGGAACTGTTGCTAATGTAATGAGATCAAGTGTTAGAACTGGACTATACAAATAAAGTGCCGAAATAAGAAAGTAAGGTATGTGTGTTTTACTCACCTGCATAATTCATCATTTCGGCAGCTGTGAATTACATTGAGGCAAGAAGGGGGTGGAACTATGTTCACTGCACATGGCTTGCTGTGAAGAGCTTCTTTGGACTGCTGACAAGGTATATCAGATTGAGCACAGTCACAAAAAGCCAACATCTGGGCAATGTTAAAAGGCATATTTTGATAGAAGAACCGTATGGCTGTTTGGCAGTGTTTCACATCACACAGATTTCCATTTGCTGAGCAAGCTTTAAGGTAAGGTACTAAGTGTGCATTACAGACCACATCCCCTACGCACGCCTCGGTCACTTCCAAACAGGATGGGATCCCCTGGAATTCTGAAAGCAATGAGATGCCTCAGTCATGGAAAAGCTAACACAGAGTCTGCAAAATACTGTTGAAAAGACTCTAAGAAAAATATAACGAAGTACCAATGTGCTATTTTTGGCAGAAGCTTCTCCTTTATTAAGAGTAAGTTTGAATTTACTGAGACCTAAGTAGTGTGGTGTTTGAATCATCTTTCATCTACACTGGATATGTATTGTGATGCAACATGACAGGAAGTGTGTAGAGCCAAAATTGAGAGAAAGGAAAAAAATGCCTGAGCCCAAATTTCTCAAATGCAAATAATAAATCTTCAGAACTTAGATTTGAACTGTACAGCTTGTGAATGAGAAGTTCACTGGTGCAAGTTTAAGTGATTCTTGTTCTGTTACACAGTGTCCTAGAGGTGTAGGATCACCACATTATTTTTACATGTAAAGATGTTTATACTGTGTAAAACAGATATATATAAATGTCCTCTCCTCACCACCATATGTGCATTCAAATACATTCGGTCTTGAAAATTTTAACTTATATGATTGAAATGCACACAAACTTTAATTGCTATATAGCATATGGTTTTAGCTATATAATATTTCCAAGTACATACATAAATACTTGATGGATGGACAAAACAATTGACATGTCATTAATGATAGAAATGTAGTAATTCTGATGCATTTTGTTAAAATTGGTAAGCAACATAATTTATTTAGAGATGGCGTAGCTGAGAAAGTAGAAATTATATTTTAAGCTATATTATCTAGTATTTACAATATAGATAAAATCATAATTTATGCATTACCATGATAGGCAAGTGTCGTAAGATTCCACTTGAGTTTAATGTCCTCTTTCATGCTACCTAGAATGGAAATTAAGAAAGTATTGTACAATTTTATAAATTTCCTAGAAGAATATGTATCACATTTATGAATGTATAATTGAGCAAAAAACACACAGGCTCATGAAATACTAATTTAACACTTGATTTTACCCTAACATTTTGTGATTTTTAGATGAAGAAAAATAAACCTCTGAAATATCATCCAAGCAAGTTGATCCAGTAGCTTGAAGATTTAAACAAATGTTAGTAACTAGACCATGTTCCTGGAGATAAACAGACTGTTTTGGAAGGATAGAAGAGACATGGTCTAAACAATAACAAAAATCTTTACCCAGAAGGGTCCTACTTAGATCCAAATGGAATTTAAAGGCAATTTGTATTTTTCCAAGAGTTCTTATGTATTAAAATTATAGAATGTGAAAATATTGTCAGTGATAGAGGATGCAGTAGCTAGCTATTTCAAACATTATTCACTCAAGAAATACTGGTTGAGTCTTTTCCCAACTGTGTAGCCCTTGTCGTACTAAGGATGACAATCTTGTCCCTTTCAGTCCGCATCCCGCAGCCTGATAAGAAAATGAACATGTGAAGTGAAATGAGCACTGGTACATGAAAGCATAGAGTAGTAGAGATACAGTGGGTCAGATTTTCATTTGAAAGTGTAAGTGTTTCTATTGTGTACTAAGATTAACTTTTGTTGTAGTATGAAATGTTTCTTTATGATTCGTTTCGTCCCTAGCCAGGACGCCTCTCCCAATATATGTAGATTTTGCCCAGCAGTCTAATTCATGTGTAAAATGGCCCAATCACTGGAAAATTCTTCTTAAATAAGCAATTATGTCACAATCTGTTCAGATCTTGTACAGTTCCAGTTATTCTACGTATACATGTTTTCTTGTTTCTGTACATTCAGATGACATTGAATGGAATCCCAATTTTGAAATGTCATGCACTGTATAGCTTTTATATCAGACTCAAAACTCTAAAATGTACCCTAGCTATTCTGTCACAAACTGATGTGCCTGCACTGGGCCTGAAGAGTGAGGTTCTGCCACTCATTAAAAACTGCTCAAGAAACTTCCTTTGAGTTAAAAGTGCATCCCACATTTACTTGAGGTTAGCAACCAAATTTTCATGGACTGAAAAATATATCTGTTGAAGCCCTAATTCCTCAGTTGTACTTGAATATGATACTTCTAATGAAGCAATGAATGTGAAATTAGGAATAAACGTGGGTCCCTGATCTGATGGTATTTGTGACCTCTGCTCTCCACAGCCCTGAAGCACACACCTAGAAAGGGTCCCAGAAGAACCTAACAAGAAGACTGCTGGCCATACGTAAGTGAGGAAGAGAGGAATCCACCAGGAACAGACCATGCTGGACCTTCATACAGGAATTTCAGCTTCCAGAATTATGAAAATTAAATGGTTGCTTGTAAGGCTACTCAACCTATGATGTTATGTTTACAGCAGCCAAAGCAGACCAATCTATTTATTGCCTGCATAATGATTATACAAAAAAAAATGTTATTTTTAGTGTTGGGAAATAAATTCCACCTTGGATAATATGCTGCTTTATATTATATTATGAATAATATGTTGCAGTAAGTGCAGAGATTAAATACTAATTACATTATGTATGCATATATGCATAAAATACATAATTTAAGCTTTAGATTGATTACTAGAACTCTAGGAAGCAATAAATATTGTGTATAAATACAAATATGTACTTTACAAGCTTCTGTGTGGGTTATAATATTATATACAAATGCACAAAAATATATAATGTTTCCTCAACTATAGGGTTTTATACTATAATTAAATATCTTAGACTCACTACCATATATCCCCTTGCCTTATGCACCCTATTACATGTTTTGTTTCATCTGCTATGCATCTTGCTGGCAGTTTCTTAGCTCCAGCTATACTGTCCTCCTGGCATATCTCAAACCTCAAGGCATATTCATAGCTCAGAATTATTTTAATTTGCTGTGTTCTGCCACGTGCATTCTTTTCCCACCCATACATAGGCCTCATTCCTTTGTCTCTTTTCAACTTTTCCTACACATTAAATATTAGGACACTATAGTGATTATTCCATTAAAATTAATCCCTCAACCAGACCTTTTACGCCCCTATTTATTTCATTTCTTTTCTCAGCATAAACTGCTGTTTGGAATATTTATAATCATCACTTATATTGCTAGTGGGGTGTTAGTAGTTTATCATGTGAACCTTGGTGATGCAGGACCTCAACTCCTTAAAATTTTGGTCCTTTTTTAGACATTGCCTTTCTCAAAAGAAAGCTGTCACAGCAAATCACAGATTTTTCCAAGAGCAGCTTGTGTCCAGTACCGGCCAGTATGTAGCATGTAAGGAGATCAGTTTAATGGGAGGTCTCTTTGAAAGCCATCTCAAGGCCATATCCTTCTCCAGAAGGAACGCTCTTCTGTGTCAACTTTATATCCTTTCATCCTTCTTCAGTTACTCCTGAGAGCTTCTTTGCAGTTTTTGTCTGCAGGTGCCTGCCCCAATAATCTTATGCATTTAAGTTTCTGTCTTAGATTTTGTATCTAAGGACATTGACTCTACACATCCTTCAGTTTAGCATCTAAGTTCCCTAAAGCACAGTGATCTTTACTGTTTTGTTTACTTCTCTGCGACCAAGGATTAGGACATAGTGTAAGACACTGTCGATTCTGAAAAGAAATGATTACCACTTCAGCAATTTTATATGTTCTTTTAGTTACTTCAGTGAACAGGTAATTGGTTGTTTTTAACCTTAGAAGATTGTAAATGACTCAGAAGCATTTGTTCAATGAATAAGACCAATATTAAGAAAAAAAAAAACCCCTAAAGATAGTATGCCTCTTTCTTCACAAGCCCTTTAGGATATGGTTACTGTATTGTGTATTTTAGTTATAATTTTCTGAAATGAATACAGCCAGCATTGGAGAGTTGAAATTATAAGCTAGATATTTTCTGGAAAATGTATGCATGGGATTATACGTAATGTTTCTGAATCTATTTGAACACCAACCTGAAACAATGTCCTGATTGAATGAATTCTCATTGTCTTCACTGTAACCTGTTACTTGAGTCATTTGGATATCTTGTATACAAATGTCTTCAAACAAACTTCTCCAAATTTGAATGCAATCTGCTTTTGAAGAGTCACTGCACTGACAATTTTCCAAACTTGTTTCTTTCAGATTTTCTCTTAATTTTGCACACAGTTGTCTTCCAGCAAGGGTTTTGCACTGTTCTGTTTCTCTCCTACAGGTTTTCTTGAAATTTTCATACAATGCAGTGCAGTGTTCAGATTCCAGGCAGGCATGTGCTGCTAAGACACAGTCACGCTTCTTTTCAGTCATGAGCGGTGTATCTTTCTGAGAAAACCATTGTGTGACATTTGACTGTGCAAACAAGACTGATTCTTCTAAAAGGGATGACAAATTAAATAGGTTCATTTGCTTAACGCTTCTAATAAATGCATTTAAGTATGCACAGACATATCTTTTGAAAATATCCCATAAATCAAAAGCCAGTGAGACATTATTTCAACACAACCATTATAAATGATGTTGATTTTTTTTAAAATGGAAATATGTAACATTCATCATTTATATTGTATTAATGACTAATTTCCTATAGTGATATTTTATCAACATCATTTAATTTTGTATTTTTATATTTTGCTGATGACTGACAGTAATTATGCTAAATTTAAATTATTTATGTCATTACTTATCACATAAATATTTATGAAGTTCCGTCTTTTCCCCTGAAGTTGTATCTTTGCTAAAATGTTTGTTAATGTTATGAAATAATATCCCCAGTTCTGGCTTCTCAGGCACCAGTACCCCATATGTGTGCCTGTTCCATTCCTAGCTGTTTTCACTTCCAATCTAGCTACCTGCTAATGCACCTGGGAAAATGCCAGAAGGTAACACAAGTGCTTGGTGCCAGAACCCACATCATAGATCGGAAGAAGGTCTAGGCTTCTGATTAGGACCAATCCAGCTCTGGTTATTTTAGATAACTGGGGAGTAAGACAGTGAACGGAAGACCCCTTTTTTTCTTGGTAATGCTACCCTTCAAACAAACAAACAAAATCTTTTTAAAAATCCCCATTAAAGAGATTTGTAAGACAGTTATTTTTATTAATTTCACTTATGCATGAAAATAGATACATCTCAACTTATGTCAAATAGAAGTCAGTCTCAAGACAATTTGTTAGGCAATTCCTCTAATATAAAATCTTCAGAAAGGCAAAATGAAGTCATCTACTAAGGATTATAATAGAGAAGTTGGACAATGAGTAACCCGAGATCAAAGCCAGAAACATTTACCTCTTTTAGAGTGGAAGAAAGTTGATAGTGGTAGGAGTAAAAAAAAAAAAGTATATTAAAGAAGGTGCATTTCAGGATGGTCACATTTCAGAGAGCATATATAGGGAGGTTGGGGACCTGAAAAATATTGGCTTAAGAAATGTGAGACCTTTCAAAAAGTCTCTGAGTATCTCCAAGAAGACATGCAGAATAACCAGTTTACTATTATTGTTATGTGCCAGATAAAAAGACCCTATGAGATTGTATTTATTCATCTTCTATCATCTAAGTATGGTAAAATTCCATTTTAAAACAAATAAATTCTAATAGCTCACCAATGTTTGAGATGGTTTTAGCAATTACAAAAAATGCTGTGCATTTAATGAGACCTACAGTTGACAGAACTCTCAGTCATTGTAACAATAGTTAACCAAATTAAAAAAATAATGGAGTTGATTAAATTATGCAGAATAAGTTAATTTTAAAATTCTGATTTTCCTTTTCATGACTATGAACTTTCCACATTACAAAATATTACCTGACTTATTGATACATTTTTTCCCAAGCAGTTTGTTCACAGTACAATCAAAGTCATCAATACAGACACATTCTGTGAATTGCAAATTATTTTCTATTAAGGAGTAGATGCTCAGGATACAGTGTGATGAATTTCTCATTTTGCAGGGGTCACCTGAAAATTACAAAAATATGTAACAATCCACATGTTAATTTAAATATAACTTTTCTGAGATCCTGTCACAACTAACATTAATCTCCATATTCCATTAATATAGAAAGATTATCAGGCATTCCTTCAGTATGTCCATAGAAGTGGCATTTTAATCAAAACATTTATTATTACTATATGTTTTCTTACAGGATACTTTATAAAATTCATTCAAATTTTCTGCAATTTGAAATAGTTTTGTCTTCATGTAGAATACCGACTTTTGTTCTCCAGTAGTATTCAAAGCTATTTTTACAATTTTCTAGTTTTAGTTGTTTAACCTCCTTAACTAATTCTTGGGTATTGTGTTGGGCTGATAACTCATTTTACATGTCACTGTAAGAAGCTAATAAGAGAGGCTTAGATGATTTTATATTTACTATGGTAAGAGAAGATTCTAGAACTTACTGAATATATAGTTACTATTTCTAAATAAAGTATGAGTTTTTCATAGTTACCAAAGTTTTATTTTATGTTTCAATTTAGAAAAACAAATCAGATACCTGAAAATCTTATTAGTTGTTCTGAATAGAACTACATGAATATATTTAATTTGTCACTTAAGAATATTTAATTCTTTAGGATATCCTTATCCTAAATAATAATACTGGAATACTTATGTAAATATGGTTTACTGCACATCTATAGCTTACTATAGGTTACTATATGCAAACAGTTTTCTGTTTATATTATGAACTATGTTATAATTCATGACATACTAAATGAGATATTCTAAAATCTCATCTTAAATTGCTTCATAAAATTAACTAGAAGTCTTATTATCAAAACAAATATATTTGTCATCTTGCGTTTATCTTAAAATTAGCTATTTGGCTAAATTTTAGCTCTGAAATCATTCTGAGCATCCATATCAATGTTGAACTGGTTAGTTACATCTTTCCCTGAGTATGAATAACCCATGTGTTTCCTCAAATGTGCAGGAAGAAGGTGCTTTTTCCGGCTTCCTCCACATCCTCTGTGATCGAGGGAGTCATGTTGTTGAGCAGGCACTCTCTGGTCATCTTTGTGCACACTGGCATCATTAGAACCACAGCTTGCTACATGTTAGCGGGACAAACAACGCTTCACACCTCTGGGTGGTAATGGAATCTTCCTGAAATTAAGTAGGTGTTACGATCAGTACTGAAGTTCCTATTTATGAAGCTATGAAAGAAAAGATTCTTATTTTCCCTTTTGTTTTCTGTTACTGAATATTTAATAGGCTTATCAGATTTGTATGGTATTATACTTTTAATAATGCAATATGACAGAACTTGTCATTTTGTTGGCATATTATTTTTGAGTCCTTCAGGCATGACACTATTATGGCAGTGTTCCACTCTGTGAGAATGATCCATTTTTTATGTCTTCTTTTGGTAATTGAATGTATACTGTAATGCTCTCATTTAATATTTATTGGGCTTCTTGATTATTCAGAACATATGTATGTTTTTTTATGTAAATACAAGTCAGTTTCTAATCTTCAATTCTGTATCTCTTGAACCACCTCTAAGCATTTGGAATGCAGAAAAGTTAAAAATAAAAATATATTGGAGCTGCCATTTTCGCAGAGCAGATAAGGTTACCACCTGCCATTCCAGCACCCTGCGTAGGTACAAATGCAGGTCCTGGTTGCTGCACTTCTGATCCAGTTGCTGTTAACAGACTTGAAAAGCAGCAGAAAATTGGTCAAGTGCTTGGGGTCATGCTGCCTGTCTGGGAGACCTAGAAGAAGCCTTTGGTTTTGGACTGGCACGGTCTCAGCTGTTGTAGCCTTTGGAGAAGTGAACCAACAGATGGAAGATTGATCTCTTTAGTACTTTTGTTGATATCTCTGACTTTCAAACAAATAAATAAATCTTTTAAAAGTTTAAATACAGCTCAATTTGTTCCTGACACAGTTGTAATGGAAAATAGTGTATATGCTACAAAACTATAAAATATACAACATGCATGTGAAACTAATTGTAATCAACATTATTTCTGTTATGTTATCATTAATGTTTTAATATACAAGTAAAATGCAATTTTATTTAAATCACTTTTGCCATGCTACTTAGAGGTATGCATATAAATGTAACATGCACAGTGAGAAAAAAACAACATAAAAGGAAATTGTTCACAAATATTTACTAATGAGGGATATCTTGTAGCTAAATTCACTAAGAAGTGATTAAATATGGATCAAATAAAACATCAACTCTGAGTAAGTTATTTACAAAAAAAACAATCTAATCTTGGGATGTCGAAGAAAATATCAACCCCGATTTTTACTTTAGGAAACAAAAAGGCGTTTGAGAGTGTGTTTTCTCAACTTGTCTCACCTGCAGTATCGCAGGCAGCTTCCATCACTCTCCATGCACGCGCACAGACGTCCAGGTCACCTAGGCATCGCTCTCTTAACTGTGTACAATCACTGACTCGGGAAGTAATTCCATTTTCCAAACTTAGCACCAGAGCTTAAACAACAACAACAAGATGAGTTTGTCATATTCCAGTTCAATAGAAGAATTGTAGAAAACAAAACATAGCAAAATTGTTATAAGACTGAAATGAACTGTAGCCTTCCCCCCTAGGGAGACATCTGTACTTCTCCTACATAAGGATCTTAAAGGAGTGTCTATAATGGTTCCCTTTCTCACTACCTGTCCATTATTCATTTCCCAATTTATAATTTTTAGGCGTATTGTTTCATGGAAAATGCTCTTTAAAACAAACAGTAATCACTCTCTTAAAAAAAAAAAAAAGCTAAGCAATAATAAATGTTAAACTCCCTGCTTTTATCTTTACATATTTTGTGGATGTTCTTTAAACTTTTTTGATTTGGGAACTCTTTCTTGGCTGATAATTTTGCAGTTAGTAATTCTGGTCATAGTTTGAATCCTTTCCAGTATCCACTATTCTTTTGCTAAGGGATATTTTTTAAGAGTTTTTTCCTCAGAGTTCCCACTGTTATCTTTACAAATCCAGTCCTCATGTTTTGTCCAATGTATGCTAATTGTGATGTTAATTAAAGTCCAGCATCTTCAAGTACTCTATTCATAGGTATAACTATTGTCTCTGCCTGAGAGTCCCAGATACACTTTCAGAGTATGTTCTCCTTTACATAGTTCTCATAGTTACTACTCTTCTTTTAACCTAGTTTTCCCAAAACTCTAGAATACGAATTTCCTGCAAGAAACTCAATTTATAAGAAACTGCATTTGCTATAGATCATTATGTCTTGTAACTAGTCTCAGGATATCTATAAGTGTTAGTCTACTGGCTGCTTCATTAAGATTTTAATAGTACTATCTACCTACTATCTTTTCCAGATGTTTCATTTCTTTTCACCATTTAATATTTTATTCAATAACTCACTTGTTGAAATTGTTGTGGATCATTTCCTACATCTTCTACCGAAGAGAAATATTGAATCTAAGGAACCATCTCAGTGATTTAGCTATCAAGATATAAAAACAACATTTTACTATTCTAACGTTCATTGTTCATTTCTGACTATGATTTGTAACATCATGCTTAAACCAGGATTTTTGAGAGTCCTTAAATCTTTGGTGAAAGTCAAGTTCTGTTTTACAACAAGGTATTTAGAAAATGATGCATGTTTATCACCCTCTACAAAATTATGGAACTCATTAGTATGTTTGATCCATTGTTTTCCATATTTCTATACTGACAGATATTTGCCCATATGAAACCTAATTAGTTGAGCATGTAACCTGAAGAGGGTTGTATGGGAAAAAGTTTATTAAATATAATTTGATATCTGAGACTGTCAGAAATAATTTTCTTTCCTCATGCAACTAAACTAATAAAGATGAATTCAGAAGTAAAGGTTAAAAACCTTTCTTTTTCCACTGAGGACATAATGAGACTTTGTTGCCTTTTGTATGCTTCATTATGCTGTTGCCTCATTTTCCAGCATTTGAGTCTCAGAGGCAGGTGTTTGCCGCAGTGGTTAACACACCACTTGGGATGTGTGCATTCTATCAGAATACCTGATTTGGAATCCTGGCTTAACTTGCAATTTATGTTTCCTGCTAGTACACAATGTGGGGAGCAACAGATAATGACTGAAGTGCTTTGTCACTGACACCCACATGGGAGACCAGGACAAAATCCACAGAGCTCGGCTTCAGCCTGGCCCAACTCTGGCTTCTATAGTATTTAGGGATTGCATCAGCAGGTGGAAGGTCTCTCTCTCTCTCCCTCTGTCTTTGTTGCCTTTTAAATAAATACATAAACTCCCTAAGACAATTGAAATTTCTTAGATTGTTTCTGTACAAATTATCTATAGAAATATGTAGAAATGAAAAGAATGTCATATAAAAACTGCATAGATTCACAAACTGTTTTGAATCAATCATCATATTTTTGGAATACCATTGTAGCAACAATAAAGCCTTAATAATATATTATACATTCATGCAAAAAATAATGAAATATTTGGAATTAGGCACAAGAAGCTAAATTCTGGAACATTGAAAGAATTGTTTGAAACCAAAGAAAAGTTGAAAACATAAAAAAGATTATCCTTCCTAACTATTTCCATTTGAATTATTTTAACTCCCATTTATTGTTTAGTATAACTTTAAATAAAGCTCTTTGGACTTTTGCCAACAAATACCCTTCATTGTTAAATACCTATCAGCTTCAAGTGAAGATAGTCTTTCTTATTTTATTTATCTAGCTATAGTTATAGCTATCCCTTTTCTTAAGGTTAATATTAAGATTGTGCTACAAAATCAAGAAAATGTAAAAGCTATGCTTGTGCATGTAGCAAATACATGAATTCAACATTAAATGTCAATGAATTATTTTCCACCAACATCTGCAATGTATTCTTAGAACTTAAGGTTTTAGGATAAATCCATGTTTCAGATCATAAACACTGATCAAATATAAAGCATTTCATGTCATAGTATTCTACTCTACTAAATGACTCTTAGTTTAGGAAAAACTACTACTGTTTTGAATTAAGGGAGATTTAGTGGTCTAACTAATTTCATTTTATCAAAGCAAAATCAATTACAATTTTAACTATACCATTTTATAACTTGTAAACAGATACTCATTTTATAATTCATACACAGAACCTGGAAGGTGTCATTTCAAAAATAGCTAGGAAATAGGTAAATTCCATACATTCTTATAAATAAATTATAGACATTGGGTTAGTGTATGTGTTTAAAAAAAGAAACAAACTGAATGATTAAAGCAAACAGAGAGCAAAATACATCTTTTATAAGTGTAACAAAGACGGCATAGTTTGGTGATGTAACTTATATTTTGCATAAAGTCCCTCTGAAGTCTTAAAAGAAATGGCACGTGGTTTATGAAGAACTAGAAACATTATCAATTCAGACAAACCAAAAGAACAGTTCACTTACCCAGGAAAATGAGCGCAAGCATGCTAGAGAAGCTGGTGCTGGCCACCTAAAGGACAGGTAGAGGTACTCACTGCAACGACTTTGTCCACATGAACTATCTAGAATAAAGCTTCAGTTTCTGCATTGCTTTTGAAAAACATGACCAATTCCAGTCACTTGATATGTCACCACCTCCTCACAAATATTTCCTGGGCTGTGAACTCTCCCTGTTATCTTGAAATTAAATTATCCTCCTGACTGTGCTAAACTCAGATGTGATCCTTCCAAGAAAGCCCATAAGCCAAATAAAAAGAGAAATGACGCATTCTCTGTGCACTCAGAAAACCTTTTTTTTTTCATCTTCAAATAAAGTACTAAGAGATCTAAAGACCTCACAAACAGAACCCAAGGTTTTCCAATACACTTAAACATTTTACTTACCCCTTCTTTTCCTTATACAGTTTGAATACACAGCAAAGAATTAAAGGCATCAGCAGTCCAGAAGAATACATGAGAAATTCAAGCTCTGTTAGATTTAGAGAAATAGACTATCTCATATCAGAAATGTTTACTTTGTGCCTCTCACCCACCAAGTACTTGAAAACCGTACCACTGAATTTATAGTCACTCATACCTTCCACATACAGCAAAACTGCCAAAAATGATTATCTATTCCACTGGAAGGTAATTATAGTCTATGGTCTCTGTCATTTGACAGGTGTTTTTTCTGCTGGCTTCAATGAGCAGCATTATTTATCTCCTGTTTTATTCGATACTGTTTTTCCTTACGTCTACAGAGCAACGCTTCCTTGAGTGTGCTAAATGTTTTGCTTTTTAAAGAATATTTATTCAAGTACATTTACTTATTTAAAAGGCAGAGTTACAGAGGGACAAGCGACAGAGAGATCATCTATTCACTTTTCATGGCACAAATGACTGCAATGGCCAAAGCTGGGCCAAGCCAGAGCCAGGAGCCACTTCCAGGTCTTCCATTTGGGTGGAGGGACCCAGGCACATTGGTTATCTCCTGCTTTTCCCAGGCCTTTATCAAGGAGTCGAATCAGGACTGATGTTGCTGGGAAGTAGACTGGTACCCATTTGTGATGCTAACATCTGAGACCCTAGCTTAATCTATTATCTTACAAAAGTGGCTGCAGAACTTCTATCTATAAACCACTTTGAGGCTGATCTACAATAAAAGACTTAAAGAAATATAATTTTCTGTTTCGGCAAGAAATGAAGAGAAGACATATATGGGAACATTTGTGTGTGCACAGCTGGCACAGTGCAGAATTTTTGTTTCATTACTTTCACTTTACAGTGGTAGGCAAGACATGATTCATTTTTGTTTCTAGAATAGCAAAGTAAGATTAATGAATTTGTTTCATGTATTTATTATTTAAACTGTCTCTGAGACTTCAGTTGTTTAGTTTAATGTCCAGCATGTCTTTTATCTGGTATAATTATTAGTTTGATGGTTCAGTATTCTTTTTGTTGCTTTTCTGTATCAGCTTGTTCAAATAAGTTGTTTCTTCCTGATAGCAGCATGATTCACCTTTTTGGTCTCTTAAAAATCATCATTTATAATGTTAGTATTTTCTATGAAAATTTCAGATAATTAGGTTGCATCAATGGTGAAACTGTCAAGTACCAATCAAGGAACTAATCCCATGTTCATCATGGTAGTGTAAATTGTAGGTGGAATTATTTCTATTATGGTTACTGACAATAAGGAGGAATGAATACCAAAAGTAAATAGGTGAAAGAATTTTTGAAAGGTAAAAAACACATTCTTAATAAAGCATTTAAGTGGTGAGTTGAAACTAGGGAACCATGAATAAATGAACTGATAAAACAAAGGAAAAGGAAAAGGGAAGTGATCCCCTTTTCCATTCAAGGGAAGTGATATACACATGACTTTCTAGAATGTGATGGTGCAAAGAGCCTAGATGTAAGGCAGGACGCACAATATGAATCCTTAACAGAGAGACAGAGCTTTGGAATCTCTCTTGTACAGATTCACAAAGCACCTGTGGTCATATTCCTGCTTGTCACACATAAAATAATCTCATCCGATGTGTTCCTATGCAAAAACTACTCACAGTGACATGTGTCTCTTTTTCTATAGACTCCTTCATTACGGTAATATTATATAGGCAAATGCATTTTTTTTTACAGATTACAAAGCAAATTATTCATATTGAGGCAATATCAAAATATCTTAAAAGTAAGTTCATGGTACAATGGTATACATGCTTTGTATTAAAGAAATAAATGTCTATATCCAACTGGGCTGAAAACATCATAATTTCAGTGTAGTGATAATTGTATATCCTAATTTGAGATCTCTTCCATGGGTCTATAAAAAGGTCTGCAATTTCTTTTAGTGACAAGAATAGCACAGGAAGAACTGGATTTTATTAACGGGTATAAATAGAGCACAGTTTTACACGCTGGAAAAATTATTGATACTCCAAATTAATAAACTGTAATGTGATATCTGTGAGAACAAGATTATCAATTATTCAGAAAAATGGAAAATGATTACTGAATCATAACAGTTTAGGATGAGTAGAAGTAAAACCCATCAGTTTTTTTTTTTTTTAAAGATTTATTTTTGTTATTTTGTTATTGGAAAGGCGGATGTACAGAGAGGAGAGACAGAGAGGAAGATCTTCCATCCGATGATTCACTCCCCAAGTGAGCGCAACGGGTCGATACTACGCCGATCCGAAGCCAGGAGCCTCTTCCGGGTCTCCCACGTGGGTGCAGGTTCCCAAAGCTTTGGGCCGTCCTCAACTGCTTTCCCAGGCCACAGGCAGGGAGCTGGAAGGGAAGCAGGGCTGCCGGGATTAGAACCGGCGCCCATATGGGATCCCGGGCGTGCAAGGCGAGGACCTTTAACCACTTGCGCCACCGCGCCGGGCCCAAAACCCATCAGTTTTAATTTTCAAAGAAAATTTGTGATTAAATTGTGCCTTATCTTTCAAACAAAATGCTGTAACCAAATAATTGAAGCAAAAATAGAATAGTTGCTCTGGTAGAAATCTGAGTTTAAAACCTCAGGTTGTGGTTTTTGCCTTTCACCAGGACCATATTTGTTTGTTTGTTTGTTTGTTTGTTTTTGCATTTACCTGTATCTCTATTTTTAATATTTTTTTTACATTTTATTATTATAATTATCATTTTATGATACAGTTCCATAGGCTCCTGGCATTTCCCTTATCCCCTCCCCAATTCCCTCCCCCCCACCTAGTTTCTCTATATCATTACTAAAGCACAGTTCTTCATACACAGTCATATGTCCATCATTGTGCACATGGACAATAGCAGAAGTCCAGAATCCTGTTGTCATGATATAGTTAGGTAGGTGGCGCTGATCTTGTCGGAACCTGATGGACGTTAGGTCTGGGTGCCACACGGACCTATGTTGACTGGTAGGATGCCAGAGTCGGTATTATTTTCCTGCGGGACCAGTGCAATCCAATGAACTCAGTGCGTTCTCATGAGCTTAGCACATGCGCAGTTCACTGTTGTCCCTGCAGGCTAAAGCTATTGCCACAGTGTACAAAATGGCGCCTGAGGTACCGCTACTAGAATTTTTGATCTGCTGGCATCTGATCTGAGGGCTACCCAGACCTGTCTTGTGTGGAACCCGTGGAATGCCACATTGCTGCAGTTCACTAAGTCAGAAATGAGTTCACTCCCAGTTCAGCGGATGCTCAGTCCTTTCCCTTGCCTTTGCCTCCTTACACAAAATGGCGCCCAATTCAGCTCAAGGGGGCAGACAGGGCTGTGAAATCCATCCTGTTCTCGCACTGTCCATCTGGTATGTGCTGTTCTGTCTCTGCTCCTGGTCAAATCAAACGGACCAGCAGGGCAGACAGTTCTTTGTCTGGGTTCACCTTCCAAGCTCCCATTGAATGTATGCTATGATGAATGTCTTAGTTGTAAGACCTGTATAAACAATATTCTCTCACAATGAGTATTAAAAGATACGTGTCTTCTTCTAAAAGTATTTATTTTTCATTTATTTAAAAGGTGGACTGGAAAGAGAAGAGAGTTTCCATCCATTGATTCACTCTCCAAATGCTTCTGACAGCTGAGTCTGGGAGTCAGATATGCAATACACGTTTTCCTCATGATTAGTAGCTCAACTCTTGAGCTATCACTTGAGTGACGTCAGGAAGCTGGAATCATGAGCCAGAGCTTGGAAATCAGTTTTCAATGAGCAATAACTGTGCCTTGGATAAACCTCATTGGCTACGACACTGCCACTACACAAAGCTAGAGCTTGGAATCAAACCCAGGAACTCTGATGTAAAGTGCAATTATCTCTGTCCTTAGTCCAAACACCCACTTCTCATATAGTATGTTTTTAATAAAAAGAAAAAAGACAATTTTTATACTGCAGGGCCTCACCTAATTAATTAGTTAATTAATAATAAAATCAAAGTCACATGATATAATATTTAATCAGCTCAGTAAGATTTTCTTGCTGAATGTGTCACAAGCTAATGGGGATGGCCACGAATTGAGGAACCAGATGGCCCAGATTGGGAAAAGCTGGGAAACAGCATGGAGGCAAAGCCTGACGTACGTAGTAAAAACTTCAAGTGAACTAACATTTTTAGATTCACAGTATGTGAAAGACCAGATTTTAAGTAGCAATAATACCTTACCAAGTGGATTAATGTTTATCCAACAAATAACAAAGAGGCAAATGGTGAGTTTACACAAGAAGTAACCACCTGGGTTTTTTTCAGGAATTTCTTGAGCAGAGAAGGCTTTGGAAAATGCTTTGCAAACAAGAATAATGATCAGTTATGAGAATATTCCAGGTTTCTGGCAGTTGGGGGACAGTTCAAAATTGAACTAAGAAGTACTGACAAAGATGGTAGATTGAAAGCATTTAAGTATTTAAAGTGAACAGGATCTGGTGGCCATTTGAAATGGGTGGGGCAGGGGGAAGGAGTGCAGGTCTTGGTTGTAGTCAAGCCATTGAACTCCTGATTCAATATTCTACACACAGTATAATTCGGT